CCAGTTTCACAGCATTTGGATTCTGTGAGATAGGCTTTAAGAGAGCTTGACTCTCTTACTCTCAGAACACAAGCTTACACTGAGCTTAAGTCAATTCAGAAGTATATATCCAAATTTGAATGCATTTTAATGTTGTCCATGTGGATGAAGCTGCTAAAAATGATCCATGACACTAATCTTGTAATTGAAGCACGCAATGCTACATAAGATGTTGAGAGGGATAACACTGAATGACTTCTTAAAGATATTCAAAAATTCTTGATCAATGGGACGCAATCATTTCTGAGTCCAAATCAGTAGCACAGGGTATTGACATTTCATCCAATCACAGTCTAACATCTCAATCTCATGTAGAAAGGTAATACTGAAACAATTTTTTTTGTTATTATTGACTCCATCAAATCTGGTCTTATACATCAATTTGAGTCACTGCAACAAATGTGTAGCCTTTTTGGATTTCTCTGGGAGTTCAGAGAACTACGTGATGAAGATCTATATTCATCAGTGGCAGAACAGTTTTAACAAAGATACAGCAAAATTTTAGGAGATCTCTGTGATGAGATCATCTTCCTGAAAAATATACATTCCACCAACTTTAAATCAGACTTCAAGCCAAAAGAACTGTGTCAGGAAATGTTTTATCTCGGCCTACTGACCATATTTCCTAATATCAGAATTGCATTACGTATTTTTGTTAGTCTCCCTGAATCAGTGGCTTCAGGTGAGTGCATATTAAAACAAGTACAGAACTATCATTCTACAATGGGACGAGCATTTGACTGGGTCCGCAGTGCTTAACACTAACAGTGATGTTGCATGTAAATTAGGTTTTTCTTCAACTATAAATGAGTTTGCACATCACAAAGCCAGAAAAGCATTCCTAAAAGGAAGAGTTTTGCTTGCAGTGGAAACTCATAATTAAAGTTACATTTTTAATATACATGTTCTAGGTATAATTACTTAATTGTTAATAAATAAATGTCTCAAGTGTACATTTTCATATGCTCTTTTGATTTTAGTATGACTGTGTGGATGAGAAGTTAGATACGTCAGGAGCCTAGGGCTAAGCCAGGCTAGGGCCTCTAAACTCAAAGTGGCCCAGGCCACTGTCTTCTCTGACAAGCCCTGTTTATACCTTTCACCTTTTGTTTTTTGTCCCTTAGACCAGTGGTTCCCAACCTTTTTTACACGGGGGGACCAATAAACCCATTCACAAACTTTTGGCGAACTGGTAACATTTTATTTGCAAATAATGAATATTCAAATATGCAAATAAAATGTTACCAGTCCACCAAAAGTTTGTGAATGGGTTTGCTGGCCCGCGGTATAAAAAGCCCCTGCCCCCAGAGCCACTCCCCCCTCCACTGCCCCCTAGTGCCAGCCACTGACCCCAGAGACTCCTGCACCCAACCCTCTCCCCCAGTGACAGCCTCTGCCCTCAGAGTTCCCTAGTGCCAGTCCCCCTGCCCCAAAAGCCTCAGTGCCAACCTCCTGTTTCCAGAGCCCCACTGCACCCAGTTCCCCTAGATTCCCCGTGCCAGTCCCCAATATTAGCCCTGTCCCCAATGCCAGCCCTGCTCCCCTAATCCTCTATTAGCCCCCCAGTGCCAACTTCCCATCCTGGATGTCACAGTACCCTCATTGTCAGTCCCCCCATGCCCCTTAGAGCCCCCTATCCCTAGAGCTCCCCAGCACTAGCTCCATCCTCAGAGCCCCCCATGCCTGTCCCGCCCCTCTCACCTAACCTTGCTGCTGCCTCCCAGCTGCCAGCTGAGCGCAGGGCACTTCCCTGCACGGCAGGAGGGCTGCATGGAGCCTGCAGTGTGCCGGGCCCCTGCTGAGTGCTGCAGCATCCAGGCTCCCTGTGGCGTTTGGCCCCAGCTGAGTGCTGTGACAGCCAGGCCAGGGCCAAGCACTGCATGGAGCCTGATTGCTGCAGCGCTCAACTGGGGCTGAATGCCATATGGGGCCCAGCTGTTTGGCAGCTGGGCGCTTGCTGAGCACCGCGGCAGCCAGGCTCCACGCGGCACTGGGCCCCGGCCGAATGCTGCAGCTACCCATCACATGGCCCTGCCAGTCCCAGTAGGGACAGCCTCACTGAGGCCCGGCTCCAGCCACAGCATACCTGGCTGATTGCCAGGCCACCCACCCTGCTGCTGCATGGGGAAACCCAGCAGGCGGAGCTCATTAGCAGCTGGGGACGTGGCCTGCAGTGTGCTGCGGCCCGGCAAGCAGGGGTTCGCGGCCTCGCTGCAGGTCTGCTGACCGGCAGTTGAGAACTGCTGCTTTAGACTATAAGCTCTTCAGGCAGGGACCCTGTTATCCTATATGATTGTACAGCAGTGAAGATATAATTGGCATGACTGCACTGTAAATAATAAATAAAACAGGGAAGCTTAAATTAAAGCTTTGCACCTTTTGTTTATTCACCCTGATTCCTTCTATTTCTGTCAATCCTCCAGGACTGGTCTCACTCTAAATTTAATCAAGGAACATTTCTGAATTGGAGCCAAATTCTGGGGAAGGGGTACTTATAACTCTTTAAAAGACATCAAGGGTCCTCAGCCAGATGGTTAGAGTTTTCAGTTCCATTAGGATCTTCAATCCCTAGTAGAAGTACTTCCCATATTGCACCCTAACGCTCAGATCCAGAAAAGCTCGTAAGCACCTGTTTAACTTCAACTGTGTATCACACTGAAGACTACTCGGGTACTCACTTAAAATCAAGCATATACTTTAGTGGTTTTCTGGCCTGAGGCCTAAATTCTCAATTCCCCACTTTGTTAAAAAAAAAAAAAAAAAAGCAGCTTTGCTGGGATGGTGAACAAATGCTTTAAATTTCTTTTCCTTTTTGTGTTTTGAAATTGATAGGAAAAATTATCCTAAATGTCCTGCATAATGTAGAACAGTACTGTAACAAAAAGTATCTCTTGTAGTAAAGTAACACTAAAGATTTATTTTGTAATGAAATAATACAAAATCATGATGTCTCATGTAATTGGATCATTATTGCTTTTTGATAGTGATACTAGTTTTATAAATTTCCCTTTGATAATCTCTTTCTACTGATTTTAGCTGACTCAGTCATAGATTTGTTCATTCAAAATAGTATGACCCTCCCCTATGCTGCAAGCTGACAGGGACTCAGTTCCACAAAAGGCTGATCTATTCATCATCTAAATCATATATGCCACAAAAGCAAGGCATGTTGATTCAACCAGTGCTGGTCCCTCAGAGGATAACTAATGCTAATGAGTTATCTGCTCTGTAAGGATCACTATGCTTAATTCATCAGATGGTTTAAGCAGGGAACCTTGACTGTGCTTTCAATTTAGTAGCCTTAAAAAAGACCCTGATTCCTACTTTATTAAGAAATGGACGTAAAAAACAATTAAATTATATCCACTAATGTAATTCCATTGATTCCACTGGAGTTACCCCTTATTTAAGCTCGTATAACCAAGAGCAAAATCAGATCTATGATATTTACTGAGCAGGACTTCACTCACTATCCATCAGGGAGCTTCATGCCTTTGGGGGCTTTCCCTTAATCCTCTTCCCTAGCTATCTAATTTCCTTTGCTAATGTCAGCCAGGGAAAGACATATACCCATCATGTGTCTAAGTACCTCAACAATACTAGGTAAAGGTAGAAGCTATTTCTGGCAAACAATTGTCACTAGCTGATAATCTAGGGTGACTATACATTCTATTTTAGCTGGGACAGTTCCCTTTTTAAGCCCTGTCACAGACATCCTGACTTTTTTGTCAAAACTGGGGATTTTTTCCATTTTCTCTGGACCAAGGTCAGGTGTATATAAACCTAATGTAATGCATGTTATCACTTTCAAGAAGTAATACCTGTTAATAATGAATAATTCATGGTACCCAGGCAGTTCACAGGAAAACAAGAAGACATGCAGAGGAGACATCAACTCCTCTAGATATTTGCCTTGTTTTACAATAGCCTATTGTGACAGAGTCAGGCCAGAAGGGCACAAAAGAGTAATTGTAAGGGAGGTATATTAGCCTCAGACTGAGTAAATCTTTATTCCAGGGCTACTCCAGAACCAGTGAGAGCTTGCTAGAATCAATCAGGGCAATTAGGCACCTGATTAAGTGGGCTTGCAGAGTCAGGTGAGCCATGGCTAGTGGAATACCTGGGGCCAAGTAAAGAACCAGTTGAGACTGGTTATAAAAAGAGCTTCCCTGCAGTTAATTAGTGTATGCGGAGTTGAGAGGATGGAGGGAGCTCTACAGAGAGTCTAAGAGAAGCAAGCACCAGCAGATTCTGGGTATGTCTACACTGCCACCCTAGTTCAAACTAATGTGGCTAATGTAGGCATTCGAACTTGCAAATGAACTAGGGTGGCAGTGTAGACATATCCTGTAGTAGAAAGAGCCTGAAATAAGGAAAGTGTGAGATTTTGTAGCTGCCTCATAGTTAGTGATGGAAACTTTTATAGGCAGCTGCTATTACAGGGCCCTGGGCTGGAACCTGGAGTAGAGGGTGGGCCCACATTTCCCCCCCACACCTACGTCTCCAATTCTACTTGGGGGAAAAAACTGTCTGGGAAAAAGAAAGGGGTTTACCCAGCCCTGTATAATGTGAGGATCCACTGAGACCGTGGAGTTTGGTTGCCCCCTATACCTTAGCCTGGCCAATGATGAGAGTAGCTCAACAAATAGCAAGCTGTTGCCCTAGGTGGGGTGCGAACTTTAAAATCGTTGGGCTCCAGGGCAGCTGCCTCCCCTTCTTTCCCCAACCCTCATCCCCACTCGTCAGCGAGCCTGCAGCTAAGCACAGAATAGCATATTTCCTAGTCAAGACCTCCATCAGCATGCTCAATTACATGCCTTTTAAGGCATTGCTATATCAAGGAATCGAATCTCGCCTTCAACTATTTCATCCAGGATCAATCACTGTCAGTCCTCCTCAGGTTCCTTGAGATCAGAATAGCACCTAATGTGGTGCATGCTATCCCTTTTAAGAAGAAATACCTGTTAATTGGGAAAACAAACAGCAGTCTTCAACTAAAGAGTCTCCAGCTATAGATGATTTTACTTCCAAGTCTGTACTTGGGCATAGATCAGTAGTAGACAAAGAACTTTCTTCATTCTTCAGAGTATTTGGTGATTTCAGTCCAACAGTCTGCAAACAAAAGAATGATCACAAATAAAACTTATCACTTAGGTTCCATCAGGAACATGTACAATGATATAAGACTCCATTCTACACAATTAAAATGTGTGAGAGTTCTGCCACTGACTTCGTTAATGAAAGATTAGACCCCTAGTGCAAATGTATAACGTCTCCTTCTTACAGGCCACAACACATTTCACAATGAAAACATAAGGCTGGACAGTTAGCAGAGAGATGTGTTGCATTATGGGCTCAATCCTGCACCTGAGCTCTCTGACCACAATCAATCAATGCATTTATGCACATGAGTAGTATTGACTTCAATGGAATTATATATGTACCGGTACTTAAAATTCCAGGAATGTTTAAGCAGACAGTTAGTTTAGAAGGTGAGAATCAAGGCCAAGATTTTCAAAACTAGGGCTGTTAGAAATGTATGTGAATTAGAGCAGGCCCAAACAGAGATTGGGTGTACTCTGACAAAAACACCCCCCACAACCTCCTTGGTCAGGGATCGCCAAGATGGTTTACGTTTACTTTTTATCCTTCCCCACATATCCTCGATGTGCTGAGTACAGCTCTACTCTATTGAGGTTCTGGACCATAATATCTATAAAAGGTAGCCACACTGGAAGGGTGTTAACTATTGAAACAGTTCAGCTGGAAAAAAAAGCTACAACTTATCCTAACATCGTTTGCCCATAAATTCTCCCAAACCTCAGCCATTCTTTTTAGGTGACAAATCTGAGGAGCTGTCCCAGATTGAGGTGTCATTAGAGGAAGGTTTGGAACAAATTGATAAACTAAACAATAAGTTGTCACTCAGACCAGATGGCATTCACCCAGGAGTTCTGAGGGAATGTAAATGTGGAATTGCAGAAATACTAACCGTAGTGTGTGACATCATTTAAATCAGCTTCTGCATCAAATGATTGGAAGATAGCTAATGCGATGCCAGTTTTTAAAAAGGGCTCCAGAGGTTATCCTGGCAACTATAGGCTAGTAAGCTATCTTTAGTATTGGGGAAATTGGTTGAAACTATAGTAAAAAACAATATTGTCATACATGTAGACAAACATATAGATGAACGTAATTTTTGTAATGGGAAATCATGTCTCAGCAATCTATTAGGGGATCAACAAGCATGTGGATAAAAGGTGTCCAGGGGAGATAATGTATTTAGATTTTCAGAAAGCCTTTGACAAGGTCCCTCACCAAATGCTCTTAAACAAAGTTAACTGTCACGGAATAAAAGGCAAGTTCCTCTCAGTGATTGATACATGGTTAAAAAGATAGGAAACAAAGGTTAAGAACAAATGCCCAATTTTCAGAATTGAGAGAGGTAATGGGATCTGTATTGGGACCAATCCTAGTCAACATATTCATAAATGATCTGGGAAAAGGGGTACAAAGTGAGGTGGCCAAATTTACAACACTACTAAAGATACTTAAGGCCCACGCAGACTGTGAAGAGCTATAAACAGATTTCTCAAAATTGTGTGACCGAGCAATGAAATGGCAGGTGAAATATAATGGTGCTAAATGCAAAGTAATGCATATTGGAAAACATAATCCCACATATCCATTTAAAATGATGGGATCTAAATTATCTATTACCACTCACGAAAGAGATCTTGGAGACATTGTGAATAGTTCTCTTAAAATATCCACTCAGTGTGCAGTGGCAATCAAACATCAACAGGATGTTGGGAATCATTATGAAAGAGATAGATAAGATAGAAAATATTGTATTTCCTCTATATAAATCCGTGCTACTTCCATATCTTGAATACTCCCCTTCTCAAGAAAGATATATCGGCAGTGGAAAAAGTTTAGAAAAGGCAACAAAAATTATTTGGGGGTGGAAGAGCTGCCACGTGAGGAGAGATGAATAAGACTGGGACTTTACAGCTACAAAAAGAGACGACTAAGGGGAATATGACTGAGGTCTATGAAATCATGACTGGTGTGGAGAAAGCAGATAAGGAAGTTCTATTTACTCCTCATAACACAAGAAATATGGGTTGTGAAATGAATAGGCAGAAGGTTTAAACTAAATAAAAGGAAGTATTTCTTCACACAAGGCACAGTCATCCTATGGAACTCTTTGTCAGAGGATATTGTGAAGGCCAAAACAATAACAGGGTTTCAAAAAGAACTAGAGTCTCTCCATTAATTTAGGGCCATCAGTGGCAATTAGCTAGGATGGGCAAGGTTGGTGTCCCTAGCCTCTGTTGCCAGAAGCTGGGGATGGGTGACAAGGAATGGATCATTTGATGATTACCTGTTCTGTCCATTCCCTCTGGAGTCTCTGACATTGGACACTGTCAGAAGACAGGGTATTGGGGGCTACATGTACCTTTGGTCTCACCCAGTATGGCCATTCTTACGTTCTTATCAGAGCTCTGAGCTTGGAAACCAAGTTGATACTTATGAGAAATGCACTCGCATGATCAGAGAGTTAACTCAACCTTCCACACCTAAGAAAGATATTTGTGTCCCAGTTCACTGTCACTCTGCACCTGATATATACATTTGCAGCATGGTAAAGTGTGTATAAAATTAATATTTGTTTTACTGTAGCACCCAGAAGCCATAGTTATGTACCAGGACCCCATACTGCTTGGCAATATGCAAACACAGAGAATGCTAATTATTAAGATTCAGTAGCATTTTACACTCATCGTACACTTGTTTTGTGTTGGGTTAAGTGATGACACAATACAAGAGAAGGGTGAATACGGCCTCAGAGTTCTTGTTTTTCTAACTTAGCCTTTTCCTTTTTTATTTTTGTTTTTGCTCAGATATGGATTCCTGATTTTATATACATAGACATTTCATTGCTAAAAACACACTTTAAAAGTTTGAAACTGAGTTCTTTCTAATAAGAAGCAGATTTTCTATCAATTAAACTGCTCAACCTTTTGATACAAAATGTATTAGCATTTAGAGGCATTGTTTTGATCACTGGAGGCTTCTGTATTGTCCTATTATTAAATAAAAGCATTAAACAACAACTGGCACCATCTAGAACTGACTGAATAATTTGCATCTAACTATTTATTTGATGAATATCATCTTCACTTCTGTCTAAACTGTCTGCAGGCAGATTGTAAAGCTACCAAATGTATTAATTATTCAAAATTATTCACACATGTCATCATCAAATGTTTCCAGATTTGAAAATCACTCACATTTTGACATTATAATTAAATATACGCCCAGGCCCACTGACAGGAATCCTAAGCCCCAGGACAACATATCCCCTTCGCTCCGAGGGAGCCACAAGTCATCCTGCTCTGCATCCAGAGAAATCCCAAACACCACCCTTCAAGCAGAGAACCCTCTAGATGGTCACAGACCCCCCACCCTCCATCCTCCTTCTAACCCTCCCCCCGCCCCAGCCACACTCTGCACAACTCTGCCCCCAGTGGTCCTGTGCCCAGCTTGGCCCCTTCTCCTCTCTGGCCTTCCCCGCCAGCTACCCTTAAACCAGCTCTGCCTCGCAGTGGTCCTGTGTCCCTCCGCCTCCCCCCCACTTCCGTTCCTTTCTTCCAGCTGTCCCTGCCTACTTCTGTCCACATCTCTCCTCTTTGTTCCCTTCTCCACCCAGTTCCTCCGCCCCTTTCGGCCCTTGATCCCTGCAGACCCATGCCCAGCTCTACCCCAGAGCTCACTTTCTTCTTTTCCCAGGCCAGCTTTCCCCTCCCTGTTCACTCACATGCTTACAACCTTGCAACGATTGCTGCTGCAGCTGGGCTGGCTCCTCCCCCTAATTCTGCCTTCCCCACACAGCTGGGGGTTGCTGTCCTGACTCACCATCTGGCTGCCCAGGGCCTTTCTTGCCCCAACACTGCCTATCAGGGTGCACCACTAGCTGGCAGAGATTTTGTGCAGCCTGTAGTGGGTGCTGGGACTCGGAAGTCAGCACCTAGGAGACCTGCAGCCTCCTCCCCTCCTCTCACCCATCCCCTGTCACCTCAGGTAATGTAAAAGGGCCCAGGTCTGCCAGCTGCCCCTAGTACTGCCACGGCCAGAGGACCTGGAGCCCCTTTAACGCCTCCGGGCCTCTGAGCAATTGCCACCTTTACCTTCCCCTTGTTGGTGGGCACGTGTACACCTCACAATTTGCTCTGTAACTAACATACAGTATATCGTGTAATTAAGTCGTGAATATCAGCTCTGAATTTTATATTTGCTAGTATCAGTCACAGTTTCCAATAGCATGATCAAAAGCCCACTGAAGTCAGTTAAAAGACTCCCATTGACTATATAAAGTTTGGGATCAGTTTGCACGTATTCATTAGTTACACAATTACATCAGCAGGGAATAGAAACGAACCCTGGTAGTTTACATCAATCATTAATGAATCCAGAATTGTCCAATTTTACATTCAAGTTCACAATTCAAATTTTACTTTTAGTGAGCCTTTGAGCTACAAAATTGCTTTTCATGAGTTTTTACGCTAGGAAATAGGGCTGTCAATTAATGTGCATAAATGCCTGCGATTAATGCAGGGCGCAATTAACATGTTAATGTTTTAATGTGCGTTAATCGCAGGCGTTTCCGTGGCACTGCCCCTTTGAAACACCACCAAGGCATTTCAAAGGGGCAATGCGAGCAGAGCCTGGGATCAGCTGGAGTCGCCAGCTGACCACAGGCTCAGTGCAGTGTTGCCCCTTTGAAACGCAGTGGTGGCGTTTCAAAAGACCAGTACTGCACTGAGCCCAGGATCAGCTGGGAATGCCAATTGATCTGAAGCTCCTGCGGGGCTGTCCCTTTGAAACGCCACAGCAGTGTTTCAAAGGGGCAGTGCAACATGGAGCCTGGGTCAACTGGAGTCTTATTATTGTTTAACAGTGATTAATCACAATTAACTTTTTTAATTGCTTGACAGCCCTACTAAGAAAGCTTGAGTGCTCAATTTTTTGTAGGAAGCAAACACAGTGACATAGTATTTCACTTTCAAATTCAAACACACAGGCTACGTCTACACTGCGTGTTTTTT